GATATCCGTGGAAAAATAGATTGAGATGCGAAGTGACGAACGCATAAACCGAGTGTGTGGCTTGCGTGCCCCGCAAGTACCGCCTCCTCCATCGAGGCTGGCCGCAAGACGCCGGGCCTTGCCGTGCCACCGCGGTGACAGAGGGCCCACAACGGGCGGGTGGGTGACGCAACGGCGCAAAAGGGGAAGGGGGGTTGAGGTGTTTACGCAAATTTCACTTTACGACGCTTCTATTCGTTCGATTTGCATGATTGTCACGGTGTTGGATTCAGGAAGGATGTCGCCATAGCGCTATAAGGCCGCATTTTTAACTTTGTTCTCGGAAGTTTGAGAACTAATTTCAAATTCGCGTTTTTGCTAGATTTTTGTAAAAAGTTCATCATAGCGTAAATTCTATTTTAAAAAGACGTCAAATGCCGTTTACAAATCGAAAATCGGACCATTGGTTCAGACGTTATCAGTAAAGTAAATTCCCCTGTGATAGTGCTGCGATCTATTGAATTTTCCTACAAGTATTTTTCGGTGCATTTAGCCTTAACAATCTCTGCCATCCGAACCGGCTGAGAAGGTGGCTAAGAGGCAAGGAGGTTGTTCGTGAGCCAACGCGCGCGCGCGCCCGCCCGCGGGGTTCCTGGCAAGTTGCAAAGCTGCGCGTGTCGCGTCGCGCAATGGGTGCACTTGGGGTAAGTCGGCCTTCAGATTCCCTCGTGTGGCCCTACGCGGGAAAGCCTGCGGCCGCCATCGCCATGGGCGGCACGTCCCGCCGAGTCTCGTCGCCCGGGCCGGCCCGGCCCGGCGGCGCCCCGCACAATGGGCCCTGTGATGCAATGGCCGCGCGGTCAATGCCGCTGCCGCCTCGCGGCCCGCGCGTCAGCTGTATAAAAGCGCCCCTGCGTGGCCCGATAGACACCAGTCCCCTTCGCCAGCACCCCGCCCACGCACCACCAGCCGCCATGAAGGTGAGACCGCTCTTCCTGGGCTTCACTGCGTTCGACTGCCAGCGGTTTATAACGGTTAGCGTGTCGGGCCCAAGTTCGAGGGTTGAAACCCGATAGAAGACCTAGATTTTTAAAGGCGAAAAAGTATTACCTACGCCTTCTTTTGAAAGGGAAGTAAAGGAAATTTTCTGCATATGAAAGGTTCTGAAACCTAAATGAAGCCAATGAGCTAATTTTATTCACGCACCACCAGCCGCTATGAATGTGAGACTTCTTCGAAGGTGATTCGCACAATGATATCGAGGTTCTCAAAATACAAAACTGTTTTTGTAAAATAATCGATGGATTTTAACATCGATTTTTTAAGGCTAATTTTTAACAACAATGTTTTGTTACCATCTATGTTTTGAGCTCGATGTTTTTACGTGGTCAATATATTTTTATTGAAAAAATTTCATCATAAAAATATATAATAATTTTTAGTATTCATACATGGAATATTTTTCAGAGCAACGTTACTCCGAGTGAAAAATAATTAAAATCGAGTTTTCGTCATTTTAGAAGCTTCTATAATTTCTAATGATCGAATCAGATAATCAGTCGTTAAATTGTCATGATGACTCATTGATTGTCTTTTGTCAGTTAAATCTAAATTAAAAATGCTTAAACGACACCACTTCATAATTAAATTCCCCCAAGCCTTTTTAAACGTTAAACTAGTTTTTAAAAGTTTTAAAAAATCGACGTTTAATAACTTCGATAGGTTTGTTTCAATATCGTATTAAGATCGATGTTTTAATCTTGAACATCAATGTTTAGAAACATTCATGGTGTCTTAGCGAACCATACTGCATTGCTTTCGACTACCAAGGGAGGAGGGATAGAAAGGGGCGTTTTGAATGTAGGCAAACATTTTTATTTTTTCTTCTATTTATTTTTCTAATAACTAATATTTCATCTTTTGAGACCTTCAACTAAATACGAAAAATATTAAGATTTATACTGATCTTCGGAAGTTTGTGATTCACACTGATATTGAAATTATTTCGATTTGAAAGATCACATTTGCGTTTTCATTTAATTATTCATCAGAGTTTTTCATCCACTTTCTCATTTCATTAAAAAATAGTATTAAGGTATTGCGTTTTATTGATAAATGTTGGTCGAATCGGTCTGGGTATTATATTTCTTTAAAATTAATGGGTCGTTTTCCATACGAAACTTCACTGAGCGGTTTATGTTTTTGAATTTGTATATGACACGTGAGCCGCTGTGTTCGAAATAGAGCGGTTTCTTTAAGATTCACAAGTAATGCAACCCTCCGCGTTTCAACCCGAATTATATTCATAGTAAACTCGTGTAATCAAACAATCTCCAGAACCCACTTGTGGGTATGATTGCTATCGCTGAACGACACAAAATGGGAAGCAATGTTCATTCAGAAGGATTGAGGATTGCGATTTTCTTATGTTAACTTAGGCAATTCTCATTTTTTCATGTGAACGGCTGTAACAAGTAAGGTTTCAAGCAAATTTTTCTCTAACGGAAACATTTCAAAGATCGTTTTAAAATTAACATTGAATAACACTTGCTCTGAGACTGTAATTTCTATTTTTTAATACCGGGCGGTTTTAATATCGGGCGTACAATCACTACACTACCACGCATGTCGAGAGCTTAGAGCTTGCCCGGCTGGGGCAGTGACCCGCTGGTGGGAGATACCTGGTTAGGGGAAAACCCAGCTATTGTGCGTGTATGTCGGCGCCGGATCACACGATCCAGGTAGGGAAGAACACCACCCCTCCCGCGAAAAAACATCCACTACAATTACGAGACAAATGGCTATAGCAGTTCACGCGCACGGTATCACTAATCAATGAATCGAAGGGAACGCAAAGTGGCGTTGTCACCGAGCCATTTGAGCTGGTAACCAAGAGGAGAACTCATGCTTCATGTGGGGGGGGGCGGTGTGCGCAGGTGCTCGCCGTGGCCGTCGCCGTCGCCTGCCTGGCCGTGGCTCGCGCGGCTCCCGAAGCCCGCCGCTACCGCGCGCCCGCCCCCGCGCGCAACTCGGCCCCGCCCCTCCACCCGCCGGCCGACGACTACGGCGCGCCCAGCACCGACTACGGCGCGCCCAACGCGCCCCAGCTCCGACTACGGCGCGCCCTACCCCGCCCTCCGGTGGTGGAGGCCCTCGGGCCGACAGTTCCAGCTGCCCAGCGCCAGTCGTCCTACTACGCGCGCCCGCCGACGAGTACGGGCCCCCGCCCCCGCCGCCGCCGCCCGCCACCGACGCCCCCACCACCCAGGAGCCCACCGAGCAGGAGCCCACCACCACCGAGCAGCCGGAGGAGGTGAGTCCACGCGCGCCGATTCACTGCAAGGCGTTGGAATGGAACTAACTCGCAGACTTTCCTGTCCTGTCCTATGGCTCAGGCCGTGGCCGACCAGCGGCGACCCAACCTTTCAGCCATGGGATAATGGGCCTTTATCCCTTTGCCCGTATATTCTGGTCTTCGTAACCTTAGGGAGTGCTTTCTCATCGTACCACAGCATTAGATACTGGCACACGTGCAAGGAAAGCGCAGTTATTATTTTGGTCCGGCCGCGAAACGAACCCGGGGTTGAGCCCAAATAAATTTTGTAGGCAAAGCACTCCACTGCATATCAATTAACCGTTTGGTTTACACCGGCCTCTCCCTCGGGCATGACCACAGGCTTATAGCAGATAAGCACGGTTTTAGAAGTTCGAACAGATGAGTCATTATTACACCTTGAACATGGACGTACAACGCTCTAGAGATCTCGCCTAAATCAACCTCTAGCAATCAGGAACGCCAAAACATTCTATGTTTCGTTGAGGATGTTTACATCTATTGAAGAAATAAAATTTGCAAATTATTTCAAAAGAAGCAAATTTGAGGGTACCACAAATGTGCGTCCTCACACGAGGACTCAGAGCATTAACGGGAACTAGACTCGCTGAGAGCGCTGCTGTCGCGGAATAATTTGAAGGCGCCATTGTAGTGGAAACGTTCGTGACTCAGACATCGTTGCGACTGTTTTAGAAGCAAGTTAGTTGTTTAGAATAATGATTTGTTCTTTTCGATGCGTGTATTATTTAACGGAATTAAAATATACGTGATATCATATGGTTAAGAGTTGTCCGGCGTACATTAAGTGCTTTCACAATCTCACTGTTTCAAGTTCAAATTCAATCTGTAATTACTTGTAAATATTGAAGACCTTTTGTGTGAACACCTGAAAATATTATTGTTAAAGCAGCTCGGATTGAAAACGTGTATCAAAAAATTACACACATACAGCTAATGTTTTGTTTTTTCATTTTATATTTTTATTTCTGTTACACTCACCTAAAAACAAATATAACGATGAAAACGAACGCAATTGCAAAGTCGACCACGGGGACACCCAACAATGGCGACCACCTCCCCTATCAATTTATCCTGTGAACTGCACTGTCCGACCACGGAATCGCAGGGGCTCGATTCACAAAGCCATCTTCCCGCCTACAGTTGCTCTATGTTCTCATCTCCAATACAGCCTTGACCACCGAGCTCCTCAGCTCACACGGCACGTCTCGAAACATACGAGTGCCAGTCCATGCGAGTAGTCGCGTTTCAAGATATAGCTCAGACTGTTAACAAGCAATTTTACAAACTATTGCCTAGTGGTACAAGAGAGTTGCACAAGCGTTCTCGTAATGGCTAGTTTTCTTATCTTTTTGATCTTCGGTAGCTTTCGGGATTGTCCAACCCTCTTTCCAGCTACTACCTATAGACGCTAACAAGCTATTTTTTACATTTCTTGCAGTTTTTCTCCTGTAATGGTGGAATTGAAATATGGCTCTAAGAATATCGTGGAAGAGTGATATCTGTTTCCATATGCAAATTTTATTGAAAGCAATTCTTGAAAAACTGTCTTTCGATTGTTAATAAAAATGCCCATTTTTCAGCTAATTTTACAGCAAACATTTGAGTTTTCGAAAAACTTTCATCAGAATCCATTTGATGAACTTCTCCTCACAAATACAATAATGCACACTATAATGCCATTCGATTCGCCCAAGGTAGCGGTTCCCAACGTGGTTGGTATGTGCTCCAAGTCTGTGGTCCAATAGTGGTTCCGAAGGAGTCCAATATACTTAAAAGAGGATCAACAGGTCGTTTGAGGGGGGGGGGTAGAAAGTCAAATATACATACAATAACTGATCGCTGTAACCCTGTAACCAATATGCCATTGATTACAAAAGATATTAAAGAAGGTGACAATTATTTGGATTCTGGTATTTATTATTAGTTTCTTATTTTTTCATCTGATAATAAAATACAAATTTGCTCTTTTAGAATTAAACATTATTACCAAGAATGAAAACCGAACTTCCGACAATTAAAATCTGTAATTTTGCTATGAAGTACTTTCATATGTTTGTATTATAAAAATGATATTAGTTAAATAATAATAAAACAAATCTAATATTTTTTCCAAACGTTTCATGTGATAGTGTAAATTATCAGTCTGGAACGTAGGTATCATTGTTTGTGCAATGTACATGCAGTTTGTTGAATATTATAGGAAATAGGGATGCTCCATCAGCACACACTTTCTCGCATTATTTCTAAATTTGCAGTTTTGGAAAATTCAGTGTGCTCAATAAAAATGAGACCTGTGCTATTCTTTCAAACTGCCCGAAAAGGATTGAAAGAAAAATTTGGGATTTTGAGAAAAAAGTTTATATTAATAGTGTATATTTGGCCTAAATATAGGACACAATTCCTGCCTATATTTCACGCTTAATTACACGAAAACGTAATAACGATATTTTAAGTAATACTCATCAAAATAACACTTTTGCCATTTTCAAAAATCAGGCATTTTACAACCGTAAGATCTTCATGGAAAGTAACGTCAGAGGCTTCATGGAAAGTACCCTCGAAAATCAAAATATCTGTTTTAAACTCCCAAAGCCTAGAGTTCATTTATATTCATTGGGTAATATCAATTGTCAAGAAAACCAGCGAATCGCTTAACGTCCTAACATTGACCACAGACGGACAGATAGACGTTTTGCCGTCTCGTCTATCGATTTTTCGGTAAAAATGACGCACAAAACATGGATTTTGGCTACACCCCGTGTTAGAAGAAAATTTTTTTTCTATATTCCAATATTTGTATATCAGAGTCCGGCAATAAGAGTTTTTCTGCCGAAAATTCGCCGTCTTCCGGCACGACTACATGATTTTCCCTTCTTACAACGGCGTTAAGGCGGGGAAGAAAAAACCCTAACCGTTCTTTGAAGCAAACCATTCTTTTAAAAGGGAAGCGATCGTTGCCAACAACCTGTTGGGAAGCGCTGGCGTAAAGCGAGTCCATGGGCGGGCGCGAAGGTCGCTCCCGGGAGCGCCGAGGGAAAGTGAAGCGGCCCGGGCCATCCGCACGCTGTGCACGTCCCCCGCGGCCACGCAACGCCGCTCCCCTGGCCGGATCCTAAGCAATTACACAAGCCCCCGCCCAACTGCACCGCGAATACGGTTAGAAGGCCGTTGACACTTCGTCTTCGCGGGCTAACGTAACAGAAGCAGCGAATAGGTAGCTTCGGCTCTTGACGGTGGTGGCAGCTCAATGTAATGAATGGAATGGCTCGAATGTGGCAGTTAATCAACTGAGGGACGAGAGTTGTGATAGAATGCGTTGCACGGGTGAGAATTGTGAAAACTGTATGTTGCTTGTCTTGTTATTGTTAATTGGATAACGATGCGAGAGACGTAGCTATATCGTAGCGTGATTGTACAGTAGTTCGCGGAAACCGTCCCCTTTCAAAACCATCAACCACTCTTAATTTTATTTTGGCCATAGAGGCACAAACGGATTGTCAGGATGGAACGGGTTAGCTAATTATTAATACGGATCAAATATTTTCGAGTCATAATTATTACATTTGAAAAATATCTGAATTATAGGTGCGATGTATGTGGGAAAATTTTCAGAGCGTAGGTTAAGTGAGATTCAATATTCTTTATTATTTCCTTCTTACAATAATATTTCGTATTGCTGCATTAGGGTTTAGGCTCACAACCTTCGTTTATGAGTTGGTTTGTTTAACTGACAGCGCGTAAGTTGCTCGCCACATCCACCTCATATCCTTAATGGCATTGCTGAAAGTAAGAGTGCGTGGTTAATTACTTCGAAAATACAATTTTAGAAGCTGTAGTTGCGATTATCCGCTTCAACTTTTGTTACAAACTTTTTTTATCGTTAAAAAAATTATCAGAGATATTCAACTGAGTAAGTTGGAAGACAATACTATTGTGAAAAATCTACTTTGGAGTGACCTGAAAGAATCCCTCAGAAATACCGAACTATTGAAGAGAATACAATAAATTCAACTTTGTAAAGCAATTCAGATTGTCTGTACGTATTTCTCTGTTAGAAAAGTTCGAAGAGAAATTGAAAATCAGTTTCTCTTGAAAATATTTTTTGTTATACTACGACATTTTACAGTTTAGGGTTGCAAATTATTTATAACAAAAGGAAGTAATCCGATGTTGCTGGGCTATTTATTAAATACACAAAGGAACTAATTATATTTATAGTGTCAAAGGGAAGTAATTTTATTTACACAACTGCCCCGCCCGCCCCGCCCCGCCCCGCCCCGCATCGCCCCGCCCCGCCCCGCCCCGCCCGTCACACCCCGTCACAACCCGTTCCACACCCCGTCACACCCCCATCACACCCCGCACACCCCGTCACACCCCGTTCACACCCCGTACACCCGGTCACCACCCGCCCACCCCGCCCCACCCGCCCACCCGCCCCACCCCGCCCCACCCCGCCCACCCCGCCCCACCCGCCCCACCCGCCCCACCCTCGCCCCCACCCGCCCTCCCCCCACACCCCGCCCACCTCGCCACACCTCGCCACACCCGCACACCTCGCCCACCCGCCACACCCCGCCCACACCGCCACACCGCCCCCCACACCCAATCCTGCCACCAGTCCCCCGTCCGTACCCTCCGATACACCACCAACACGCCCTTCATGGCCCCACCCGCATATATGCCCCCCGCCACCATTCATGGCCTCTCGCCGATCCACCCGCACCCATCCATCCTCCCAGCTTCGCCTCGCCATTCGACCCGCCCCGACCCGCCCCGACCCGCTCCACCGCCCGACCCGCCCGAGCCGCCGACCCGCCCGACCGCCCCGACCGCCCCGACCCGGCCCCGACCCGC